CCATGTCCCCCAAGTACCGAAAGCACATTGAGCAATGTAGACAGGATCAGCTAACTACCTTACACCAACCCCTTGAAGTAAGTTTCACTGTTGCCGGTGCAGCAGTGCTACGCATGTACCTCCAGACGGAATTAGATATACTAGATAGCACAAAAGCATTGTACCATCGACCTGAAACCTCGCAAACAAATCTTCTCCCAGCCATTTTCAAGCCCTGTAACACCTGTGACGTGCTCATGGCAGCGTTGAAGCGAGGTACTGACAGCCTCGTAAGGTATGTATTGATGCAGGCTGTCACTGTATTGATGGAGCAATAGATATGAATGCCTGAGGCACACAGTATCACCGTTGTCATCCCGTTTCCCGTCCCGGTCAAAGTACCCGCCAATGACAACTCTCCGTTATGACAGCTGCAAGCCCGCCAATAAGATGTGTTACACAAGCACCTCCTGTCCCATCCCCATGATGGAATCCCTGAATTGTTTACGGATATTGTTCATCATTTTTATTTTTTCTCTATATTTTTCTCATTGTTTTTCCTTCATCACATACACTCGAGTCATTCCGGGATTCGGGTGATGCGCTTACAGAATAATTATTCAGCGATCTACAATATTCTATTCTAAGCACATGTGAGGAAATTGCATATTGCGAGCTGGGGAGCTGTTGTATCGAACATCAGACAAGAGTCTTCAGTAGCTACTCTGCAAGTGCTTTTTCGCTAACCAGATGGAGGCTCGAACATGTAGATACCGATAAGTACTTCATTAAGCTCTGTCGTTTAGTGGCTCTAAATGTTTTAGAAATGGTCTTGTCAAGTTGTCATGGCCTTCACCTTATTTAGCGCCACTGATCGGCAAGCTGGACCTATTTGCTGATTGGCTTGATTCGGGGAAGGCAGTGAACAAAGAGCAAACGAGGGATGGATCATCAAGGTGAGAAAAAGAAATATCCTACGCTGTGCGGTATGGCCTTATTACCGCATTGGGTAAGGAATATCTAACACCACGTACTCCGTACTACCTCACTAGTCAAGTACCATAGGAGCTTTTCATGGCCTGCATAAGATTCGTGGTCCTAGTGGTTGTGGTTGCCTTTGACGAAACGGCCAAACCCCGCGATAACGGGGATTCGTGGACCCTCATCCCTGGTTTGGGATTTATGTCTCGACCAGGAGAGCTATGGTGTAACTATGGCTAAGGTTCAATGACACATTCTTTTGGAAATTTTACGACCCTCAGGCTGACGAGTCAGGCAGATTCTTCTATCTCCTGATTCACATATAGCAACGAGTTATCTACACTGTAGATCAAGCCCTATGGGCCCAGTATTACATCCTTCAATGCATCAACGGCGGATGTAATACCTCTCTGAGCATCCACAAGATGATTTTTCGAAACTCTGACAACTTGATAGACAAGCCTTTCTGTCTGGAAAGAACGTCCAAAATTTGATACTCGAATCTAAGATGCAAGGGACACACGGTTATCCCCATGCAAGATGAGGCACTATCTACGCCACAATAGATGAATATCCACTGCTGTACAACCCCAATGTGTTACAGAATAAATGCAATGTGAAGGCCATGCAAGAATATCGTTTAGCGCATGCGCCATCCATTTCTACGAAAGTAGTACAGTTTCATCAAGTAGTACCAGGAGTTGACCACCTGTATTGGCATAACAATCACTACCTTGTTGATATGCTTTTGACTGATATGAGTGTCATTGTCCGTCATTGACTTTTTCTCTTTTTTTTGCCATCTGATATCAGTTGCACTCGCCGGTTCCCCGAGGACTGGAATATCTTTCCTGTGCACGAATGCGGAATCTCTCGCTTGTCAGTAACAACGGGGTTCTACTACTCTAGCCTCTAGTTCTACTTCTGGGTATCCTTGCCCCAAGGCTCCAAGGCTCTGGTTCCTGGGTACATATACGGCAGCGTACCAGATCTGAATTGTCGCTGGAATCTCATTTGATCTCACAGAGTAGCCTTTGAAAGAAATTGTGTTCAGCCACGGCTCAGATGTAGATGGGCATGACGGCTATTGGTTGGTAAAGTGTAATAATAATAATAATTCAGAGTTCATGTATCGAGCCACTGTACGTTGTTCCTTCCTAAGGTAGTAATACTAGATTAAGTGGAGATTGGCCGCTAACCTCGAATCGGAAGCTGGACAGCAACAAGCTTGCGAATCACAGTCGATGTGATATTTTCCGTGACCAGCAGTGGTTTAGTGTGTATGGTCCATATCAGGAAGCTATCTACTGGCTACTCCGCACAAGGTGCTCCGTTGAAATTTAGCAGAAATATGTACTTTGCAAGTCTCCACCAATAATATCGATTGCATACGTACGCAATAATACTCCGTACCAGTACCTTAGTATATGCGGGCTCCTTTTGTAATGGCTGGCTACTGGCTAGCTCAATTGTACACATTCGAAGACCGCATGGTCGCCACAGCGGCCATGGCGCCGTTAGCATAAGCCACATTTACGCCATCTGGCCTTATTTCGGGATTTGCATTTACCCCACCTTCCGAGTCTTCACCACAATCAGCAGCACATTCGTAGCGGAGGTCCAAGCGCCCTCCCTTCGTGTTCGAGGTCCTGAACTAAAAAGTATTTCCATTCATCGAGTCATTATTGCCAGTTTCACGGGACCCTACGGAGTAGCCCTAGTCACATACCTAATTTGCTCTTGCTGTCCTTCAGTCAGATGCCGAACAGCAGACAGCAACTGCATGCTTGAACCTGGTACATGGTATGTAGCACCTGCGTACCTCTCCATACTGACTGGGATTACCAACTTGCGTCCATAATCCATACCGACTGCATACTGCATGGCCCATAGCCTACGACAACTTCGAATAGAAACATCAAAACAAAAAATGCATGATGTCATTCCCCGCTTCAAGCCACTGCTGGGCCCCCCAAAAGTTCACACCCGATCCCACCAACCCAGCCATTCCATCATGATCGATGATCTCTGTCAAGCCTCGAGCTGTCAGTGGCGGGTTCTTTACCCAGCAGGTCCGCGGTCTCCATGCAATGGCCCCTAGCGCAAACGCCATCGGCGCTGTGCTTAGGCCATCAAATCATATTTTCGGGACCCGGGTAACGGGTCCAGATAGAAGTCCGGCCCCATGAGGCTGCTGCTGTCCTCTCACGTTTTTCTGTAATAGTTAGGTCCCGAATATTCGGGGTTCAATCTCTCATGCTATTCTGAGACTCTGAGTCTCGACATCAACGCTCAACATCCAACACACTCAGCATAAACGGAACCACGATCACAATACATCCAGTAGAGGGACCTGGAATAGCTGCGGGACATTATCCTCTTATCGGGTTTTTTTCCGCCAGCATTAAACTTTTCGCCTCACAAACAGCCACCAAGCCACAATCCCAGAAGACCAGTAAGCTAAGGAGCTACCCAACCCATAATCCAACCTCCTTCGGTACGTCCAAAAGTACCTCAGTACGGAGTAGCTAGGTACAGCTTGCCACATGCCTACGCCTACGGAAAATATATTCGTAGACGATTACACCACGAATTCTACTCATAGTAGAATTTCCGTTCCACTTTGACCAATAACATTTCTCATCGGGCAGGCACTGGGGAGATAAATCATTCGTACTCCGTAACTACTCAAAGATCGCTGACCATTTGACCCATCAAACATTACTCAAAAGATGACTTCATGATCTAGTGTACTACCGTATGCAGTAAGGTACATACCACTTGTGCGTAAGTCAACCAACTCGGCCATATCGAGGCGTGGTGTATTTCCGCGGAGACTACTGCGGCTTCTGATTGGACCTGGATAATGATTCCGGATGTCTACCTAACTAGGTAGGTGGTCTGTACTATAGCAGCAGCTAACTGGAGAAATAACGATCATTAGTACCATTGACCATTGACCAAATCCAGAGCTTTCGTGCGCCTCAGTCTTAATCTCATGACAGGTGGTCTGTCGTTTGGGCCTGTAGTGATGGTATTCTGTTGCTGCAGATACTGTACAAGTCCACCAAGCCAGATAGGTCAATATATATAAACGAAATATCAGTCTCGATGGTAGATAGATCTTTCTCAAGGACGGGAGCTTTTAACGATGGAAATCGATGCTCCATCATCTGTGCCGATGGACTAAGAAATGCAGTTAATCCCTACTACGAGGTATGCACTACAGTTGAGAATGGCAGGGGCTGGAAGATTGTTGGCTGTGTAATCATTGAACAGTCCGATCAACAATCCATTATGTTCCCATATATATATATATCCACCTTCCATCAATCGCAATCATTCCAGGTACGGAACTGTCCATGGCACCCAACGACACTGATGATGCATCTTGTAGCGTCCGTGGCACCTTCATAGCAGAAACCCCTCGCGCAATGATAAGTAACATTGAAGACCGGTGACTCCTGAACGCCCTTGTGATCCGCAAACAACAGGTATTTGAGTAATATGAACGCTGGCGTAACGCAAACCAGGATTGTGCCGCAATGATCGAACATGCAATGGTATCCTAGAATATCTGTCCGCGAACCTCGGACGAATGTCGCCGATGTAAATCTTGACCGATGAATAACAAAAGAGAAAGAAAATCATTTTCGAAAGTAAAGAACGAGAGTAAAACTCCGAACATGACCGCTGAGAGCGGTCTGTCAAGGCCGAAGATCTGTTGCGGGAAATTGAGGTCGCAAACTGCTGCTCTGGGCTATGTCTCGTAGACACCGAGCAAAAGAGTGAATAGAATGTTGCACAGCCCATACGGCGTGCTTTTGAGAATTAGACGACCAAGCGCTTGCTAGTCCCGCAAAGGAATCGCAAAAGCAGTATGGGAAGAGGACAATCAAGCGACGACATATTAGTGCATTATGATTAATGAGAAGCCGTCTACCCAGGATCCACAGGATCCTGAAACACCGGCAATTTTATAACCCAAAGGTGGTATCAATGTATGCCTGGGATTCTTGTTAGACCATGAAGCGCGCGTCCTAAGAAATGGGAGGATGTGAAAGGCGCGACACGTACCCGGAGCCTCCCCGAGCGTTGCCGAAAATTCCAGATCTCCGGCCTAAGCTTGTCAAAATCTCGATTCCATCGATCCAGGCACCGGCCCTGACGTAAAAACCGAGCAGAATCTCACCCCGTCGAGTGTCTGATGGAAGGGTCAGAGAGTGGTCATCATACTTGGGAACGGTTGTGCCTACCAAGTACAAACTCATCTCCACCGGGCTTTCCCCCTCGCTTCCCGAAGAGCTGGCTAGTAGAGTCTTCGTAGCAGAATTCTAGTCCGTCGAGGGCCAGTCCGTGATAAATCTTGATCGAGGTCAAAAGTTTGGTTGATACGAAGGCACAGTCCAGCAGCAGCTGCTCCGGTTGACTACCGTCCATTTGAGAGAAACCGAGCTTGCCGCTCTTATACCCAGACTGGCCCTTGGGTAATTTCACCAGAGACAGTTTGGACTTCAAAGAGCCGATAGACTCAACGGTATAGCTTCCAAGCGCACCAGAGAAGACGGCCAGTTTGACATTCTTCTTCTTTTCTTTCTCGTTGCCGAACAATCGTTGTCGGAGTTCACTTTCCGTTACAGTTACCTGTTTCGGGAGCCCGTTACTGCTGGATTCGCTGTTAAGGTACTCGATGAAGTTATGGCACACATCCTCCCCCTCAGCGTAAAGTTCAATGAAAGCGATGCCGGAGGAAGCAGTGAACAAAATCTTCCCGTTTTCGACAGGCCACACCTGCACGCTATCGTCCGAGCTCACGGGTGCGTCTGAAGGCAGGCGGAAACATGGATGGAACCTGAAGCGCAATGCATCGAGCCGATGCCAGCCACATTCGTCCTGCGGCAGGCACAGTTTCAGGCCCTGGGTTTTGGTTCGTGTCGAGAAGGGTTCGCGAGTTGTGAAAGACCGATTCAGACGGACATAGTCCCTGAGCATGATCCCGGATTCCTGGTGCGGACATCCGAAGAGGTGGCCAACTTCATGGAGGTGAGCTCCAATACCGATGTTCGCTGCTTCCCAACTCGACCCCGCCTCTCCGCAGTCATTCGCTACAAAGTCGGTGTTGGTGCGAGTACAGTCGGAGAAAGCTTCCACCACTTCCTCAAGGCAAGATGGGTAACTCTGGAGACAGTGGGAGCCAAATATCGCCATCTTGATGTTGTCCCCACTCGATCCCAGCGCAGCGTGGCCGGTGATCGTTTTGGATGTCTTGTCCCAGTGAGAGTCCAGAAGCAAAACTGAAACGTACTGCTTTTGCCCCTCCTTTGGTCGGAAGTAGTTCTTCACAGCTTCCTTGGCAATATTGAACAATTCATCTTTCTTAGTGGCAGAACCATGCTGCTGGGCGATATCAAGCGCACGGAGTTCTGCTGCTGTTTTATCGGTACGGACAACATGAACCTTGGCCTCATTCCGCATCAAGCCATCGGTCGCATCACGACGGCTTAGGGTGCCTGTCTGCCACTCCTCCTCGAAGCGGAAACACCGCCTCCCAAAATTGTTACGGAACATCTGCTCAGCGGTGAACGCTTGCCATAAGTAAGCTGCCGTTCGATATTTTCGGATTGCAGTTTCGAGGTCATTCCCTTCTCGCTGCTGCCTTTCCGGTACCGCATCGAAAGTCCCATCCGAATCCTTGCCAAGCAGAATCACCAGTTGTAAGGGAGGAGCGTTGACTAATGGCAGATAGTTTATGCTGATCCATGAGGAATGAATGGCAGGATAAGCGCTGCCAGTTGACAGCTTCGTGGAGACAAAGTCAAATCGTAATCGGTTGGGACCCGGTACTAAATGCACTAGGGCTTTGAAATGAGAGGAGGTGACCGGCCAGGCGATCGAAGGAAACCCGTCTTGATGGTGGTATACCGTTACACTTCCGTCCAGCGGATGTTGCCTTGGGTCTCCAATTTGTCCGTAAATCAGTAGCACTTTTTGGTGTACCTGTGGGAAGGAGAGAACTGTTAGTCCAGTTCTTTGGCAAGCAGATCACAGGAATAGACATTTCCGAAGCCACTCAGGTAGTGACAACGCAAAGCACGTACCCATGCATTATCCAAGATGGAGATAACCCTCGGAGCGTAGGGAGAGGACGGAGTTGGTGATCGGCTATTGATTGAAATTGTACTACCAGCCTGTCGGAGCAGTCAGAACCAAAATGAACAAACGTCAACCATCCTCCGGGTAGAGTAAACAATGCGATCATGACGTACAATCATGCTATTTCGCTGAGACGGAGGAACAGGGGCAAGACCAGGTCGCTGAGGGGGCACAGTAAGCGGGGTACTTGTGCCGTTGACATTGCTATTGACCTCGGTCAACGCGGGGAGATTGGGGGAGGAGGCATTGGGTTTGATAGAAGAAGGCGGAGTGATGGAGCTGTATGAAGCTGTCTCGAGAGTCGAGGAAGATTTTCCCGATGTCGTGTCGCCATTGGACGGGGACTCGAGCTTGAACTCGTTGGATTTGCTGGTATGGAAACTCGCCTTGGAGCGGCGACGCAACGGTTTGAAGAACGGCATTTCGTGAGTAGGCTACCCCTGTTAAGGTAGATGGATATCCTTCTGAAAGGGGTTTTGGATAACGAACGACAAGAACGAATCTGAATGAGGAACTCCCTGCAATTGGAAGGAGGCAAGAGACCCTCTTCTTTCCCTTGGTGCCTAGCACGTAGCTCGGTGGGTGATGGTTTTCCTCCTTTCTGTTTCCCGCAAACTCGAGTGTCTTACACACCCTCCAAGCAGGAGAAACGAGCGAACGACCCTTTCTTTTTCTCAAGACGGGAAAAAGAGAGAAGGAAGAGGAACAGAACTGGTTGCACTGGGCCGGTCAGGGCAGCTGTCGCGGGCAGAACCGCCTTACCGAAGGTAAGGACGATGGGTGGACAGAGGCAATGCCGCGACCGTTTGCGGTTACGGGCTGACGACCGATTGGCAGTGGACGATCAACCACTCCCGCATGAATTCTAGAAATTGACGACGAGCTTCTTCTAGTGTTGTGACTAGTATCACTATATAGTCTGTTGTAGCGAAAAAAAGACGATGATTTTCAGAAGGAGGGACAAGAGTTGAAAAAAAGAGGGGAAAGCAGGGCCAAAACCTGATATTTGGGACAAGGATGAAAACAATGGAAGGAAGAGCAGAAGGAAAAAATGATAAGCATGAGGAAAACAAGAAACAAGTAAGATGCCTGGAGCAAGTCACTACTAGTTTGCAGTTGGGTGGTTAGTTAGAACTTTGACGGTGATGGTGGCAGGTTGGCAGCTACTTTTAGTAGCCCGGTAAGCCCGTTAATCTCTTAGCATCCTTAGCGTCTTAAGTTAGTAGTATCAAACACCTTATTAGTGGTCTTTTAAGTTGCCTAGAGTGGATTGATGGTATGGGTGATGGAGTCCGTCATCATCACATACCTTGCCAGAAACCCTGAAGAAACCATTAGGTACCCTATCTATGTCTATCACATCTCTATTGAGACTTTATCCGTTCTTATTCTATCTCAACAGTTCCACTTCTAGCAGCATGTATCTAGATGAATACGAGCAGTAGTATCAATGCAAAGACAATCCTTCGGGCTTCCTGAATTCTTTTAACAGTCAAACAATTCAACACCACCATCATGATAGCTCACCGAAGTGGGTCATTCCCACCCTGTCCCTCGTCGCACTGCCTGTCCGTTGCGCTTGGACAAGGGCGTGTTACGTAGGCTGGACATGCCCGCCAGCCAACGGTACAGCGTCAAATAGTTAGCATAACAAGTTGAGAAGCCATCCGTGTTTCACTGACTTCCATGGTCTCACATCCTTGGTCCATCTGAATACTTACTGGTGTGGGATGCTCTTTTGCTAGTCTTGTCTCATCTTCAATCAGTAGTAGGTGACAGTCCTCCTTAAGGCTTCGCTATATAACTGTTAAACTCCGAAGTTACTCCTAAGGTGGCAGAATGTCATATACAATGACCTAGATTTAAGGTGGTATCCCTACGGACATATTGCGAAGGACACCACTTGGATTTGGTCGTCTCGTAAATCCCCTCCGAGACAAGGTCCAGGATGATAGAACGCATGAATCAAGAGGATACATCTTTAGCCACAGACGAATCTTCCATCTCATACCTAATAAGTTGATGGTGACCGAGTCTGCGTCGCGGTAATGCAGCTTTCAGGTTAACGCATCTTACTGATAAATCTGCTGAACTCGGTTCCCTCTTCCCCTCGTGTCAGCTTTTTATCAAAGAAATGATCTTCAGGAGCTTAAGGAACCTCTTGGCGATCTGGAAGTAGACTATCTGTCTGTAGGCGATTTTCGACTGGTAAACCCAATTGCTACAGTAGATTCCTCAATCTCGAAGTTCAAGCATTCCAGGCTGTTTCTGCGCCCCTGACTGCGCTGGACGTTGATGATCCCGCTTCTGAAACTGGAAGCAATGTGACCGGACGATTTCAACCATCTTAGCTGAGATATGTTGGTGTTGGTGGCTTTGGGGCCCAGACCAAACGCAAGATGATCTGATCCTATCATTCCCCTGACTGATGCAAGTAGTACTTGCAGACTTGCAGATTAGACTGCACAAATGCACAAATGCACAAATGCAAGTATGCAGGTGAAGTGGCACCTGGGCAGCTCCGTCCTGTCTGCTTAAGTTCTACTCCGTATCTATCCACACTACTCCTTATGCCCCTTCTCAGAATCAATGGATCCACTCCTGTCGTTTCAGGGCTGTGAAGGAACGAAGTACCTTTTGCAGGAGCTATCTAGGTGCTCATGATATAGAAGTCAAGGGCGACGAAACCGAAGAAAATAGGGGCACTGGTGAAGGAATGCATCGGAGCTGTGCCTCCTCGCATATCACTAGTATTGTCATCTGCCGGAGTGCTAACTAAGTTACCCGCTGCTATGTCAGATGCTGTGGCATTCCGACTCCATATTATATTGTTATTGTTATTACTATTTGGCAACAGGTCGAATGGTCGATCAAACGGGGCTTTTGGCGCAGAAAACTGAGAATACTGTTCGTGGAAGAATGGAGGTATCCAATTCCAGGCTCTAGCATCTGTCATTCCTCTGGCTGCCTCTAGATTTTCAATCGACCATTGAGCATGATACAGAAACAAACAGTGGTGAAGTAGATAGTATGGTCATAGGATGTCTAAAGGTATGTTGAACCGATCTACCTATGTATGTATGTTCCAGTGTCATGACATGGCAACTTTGTCCTCGTCAGAAAGCAAGCGACCGGAGACTTGTGCAGGCGCAAAGTACGGAGTGTCTATCACATTCTCAATTTCCACAAAGTAACAAAGTCAGGTCCACCAGTTCCCTGGGATTAAAATAGTTGCTCTTTCTACCTTCAATTACCTCTCAGGCTCTCTATTGTCGCTTAGTTCTCTCTGTTCTCGTCACGGTTCCGGCCCGCCTGCTGTCGAGAAATTAATCGATCTATCTAGTCACTTTTGGGCTTACGTTCTAAGTATTCATGGTTTACCTCATTTGATCTCGTGCCAGGCATAACTAAGTGAACCTCAACTTGTTCCAAATGATAAATCAAATCAAGATTAAATCCCTTTTCTTCTCCAACCAATAGCTTTTCCCCGGGACTTTGTGCTGTCACCCAGCGAACCATTGTCATTCCTCCAAACGGTGTTCCATTCCTGAACCTGGCCCGTCTCCCTCTATTCCCCCTCCACTGTTCAGCCGCCCTTGCTTCTTCCTCAACTCGGCCTGAGCCAGAACCCTTTTTGTCACTGCAACTCTCTAGCATCATAACCATTCGCCCTGGCTCATGATCAAGGAAGGGCAAAGAAAAGGAAAATACAATCTCTGTTCTTTCTAATATAGCTTTCTTTCCTATGCATCAGCGTCAGCAATGGCTCGATTGCAAGCGATAAACTCCGAGAAGACCATCCGCAAAATTGACATAGCCCAGGTAAGTGCCTTTTAGGAGGGTCCATGAACGCGCTTTCACCCAGCTTTCCTGTTTTTTGTCTCTACTTCCAAGCGCTCTAAAAACTGATTGAAATTGGTTTACTTCAGGTGTCTCTCAGCCTACAAGATCGTTTAGGCCTTGCCAAAGTCAAATATCAAAATGGTCGTATACCTGCCCTCGAGTCAAACCAGAGCGGTGGTCGACAATTTTCCCTTGCCAATGACAAGCCCTCCGATTCCTCATCCGAGATATCACATAGCCGTTGCGAGACCCCTATGACTTCTCCTCCTTTACGCACTGCGACCTATTCGAAGGAACTTCCTCGTTCGTCACGGAACAGACATGCGGCGACCTTCAATTCTCGGGTGATGCAGCCTATGTTGTCTGCTAGTCGAAAGCGAGTAAGGTCCGATTCAATACCGGATCGTCCCTCTAAGGCTCCACGGGTCTCGTGGAAAAGTTCATACCACTTGCCTGCGTCGTCACCTGGGTTTCACCACCATGCTGCGCATCGGCACCAACCTCTGCCATTCGTGGCTGAGACAATCCCGGAATTTTCGTCTCCGGCCTATCATCCTCACTCAGACGAGGAGAACGATCCAGATTTACCTGTGCATAGTTTCCAGCATGTTAGCTCGATGGTTGGCTCTTCCCCTCCTAGGACGCCACCTCCGAAGCACGCTCGCCTGGCACGCAAGAACCCAAATCTGCTTCACGAGGATGGCGCAGATCTGCTTTTGTATCTTGCAAATTCCCCAACACCAGCTAGTATTGCTGGCAAAGCCCAGGCCCGCGATTTTCCACCCTCCACTCCGCCAAGTCAACATGCCCTTTTGCCCACATTGACCCCTACACCTGGGGGCGGAGGTGTCTTTCCCAATTTCGGCACTCCAAGTCAACAGTTTAATTTTGCGGACTTTGTGAATGTCACTCCCAGTCCTGCGCAACCAGCTCGAGGCGGACGGACCCCTGGAGGACCCGTGAAGACTCCTCTGGCAAACAGAGACACCAGAAAACGACCGAACTTTGACAATCTACTTCCACCGAGCGCGGAAAGCCCGAAAAATCGACCAAAAGAGTCGGGCCTTGCTCTTCAACTTGGCGGAGAGTTGCGACCGTAGACTTCTATCGCAATGCTCTAACTGGCCGACAAGTCTTTTTTCGCTTTCTCTGTTCACAGATTCTTGTAACGACTATTAACGACCATACTATTATGTACATGACACGCCATATTCTGTCCTCGTTGTGATGCCCCAGTTCGTCTTTTGATTCATTCCCTTCTAGACATTTATGTTTGACTTGGTCTATCGTGACAGGCTGTGACCGAACGATGACCACGACACTAAACTGTCCATACATGCCATTTTTCCTATGTCAGATTATCTTGAATAGTCCTGTTTTCAATCTCATTTGTGAATACATCGCGAGCATGCTTATCCAAAACTCTCACACTGCTCTGTCTGATCTTCTAGTTATGCTAGTTGTTACCTTGTCCGATCGGTGTCCGCAAGGTAGAAAAGTACGCGGAGACTCAGTGGCTCGATTTTTAAAAGTGTCACCCCATTTAGTGCTGTGATTAGATAAGGCAGGAATAGGCATTATAGGCATTTCATGACCGATAATGTAGTTACTAAATTCATTCTACCAACCACCCGATTAAAATCCAAACAGAGCAATCAAGCATGTCTCGTAGCGTCAATACCCTGCGATTTGCAGCAACGCAATTTAAGTTTCAAAAGAGCAGAGAGTAATCTGTCACCAGGGATAGTGAGATGCCACCACATTCAATCTCATCATTACCCTTGCAGACTAGGGTATCAAGCAGTCTGAAACATGACGGATGGAATCATGAAGAGTCGAAACCAAGGAAAAAACAGACGCGACGCGTATGGAGTGGGGAAACACGCGTTCATTTCGCGCTCGCGCTAGAGCGAATATAGCTAGTACAGCGCCAAGTTCCTGGTTGGCGGGATGTTGGTCTAGCGCTTTGAGGTAAAGTGCCATCTGGTGGATCGGTTGTGGTTGAGCTTCTGCCTCAGGCGTCCCAATACTGGCTACCTTACTGATGGCGCTCAGATAATACGATTTGCAATGCTTTATGAGATAGGCACATAGAGCGAGGTATCTTCAAAGGCATATAATTTCGTCCTAGGCTACGTTCAGATCCCCTACTACCCATAAATCTGTTCAAGTCCCAAGCCTGTTCTACTCTTCCTGCCAACCTAGTTGCTCTGTGTCTTTGTCGGGGTGCTGCTCCTCTTCTTTCTTCCGTTCGGCCTGCTTCCGCCACAGGAGAGCCAAATAGTCCGACGTGGTGGCTTCGTCTATTGATTTGTCTTCTCTTACTCTGAGAAACCGAGGAAAGCGGAGGCTCAGTCCCCGCTCGTCACTCACTAAGCCGATGGCTGCTGTGTACGTCGGGCTCAGGGTGATATCGGCGAACGCCATCTCCCAGACCTCCTGCGGTTCGAACCAGACGTCAGGTTCGCCGTAGTACTCGACATACGCCGGCCGTGAGATGACGTTAGGCGTTCCCTCGGCGTACTTGTCCTTGTTCGCCTGGTAGAACTTGTCCGTAAAGCCGGACATGCATTTTGTGACTGCTTCCAGGCTGCCTGTTTCAGGGTTGCGGACGGCCATCAGAATGGGAGACCACCATTTGGCTTTTCGGCCTTGTCCGTGCCAGCCGGCAATGGGGATCAGATCCAGGGTCTCGGACGAGGTACTGTAGTCCTTCTTGACTTTGAGCCACGACTCGAGCCGCTTGTCTGGTTCGTATGTTGATAAGAGTGCCTTTCGTCTGCCGCCTTTGCCCGCCTTTTCGAGCGGTTCCCCGCTCGTAACATCCATGCCGTTGCCCGTCGAGGCCGCCTTATTCTGTTCAAGGTTCGCCTTGGGTACATTGTCGAGCACTTTGACCATGATTCCTTCGCATTTGTTCTGAAGGGCGCTTTTGAAGAACTCCAAGACCGTCTCGGAGTCCGCGGACGTGGCGTCGAGGCTTTTGACCCAAGTGAATCTATTTGGGATCTCCACGAATAGGCTGCGCAATAACTCCCTGCGTTCGCGAAAAGGCCGATCCAACAGTGGCTCGCCGTTTAGATACATTAAGTCGAACGCGAAGAGGCAGACATTGATGTTGATTGCTCCTATCTCCACGTTCTTCTTTGCTCGATTTGTCAGAACTTGGAACGTCTGGAGTTCACCGGTTTTGTTGTCTACTGCGACAACCTCTCCTTCCAATATGAAGCTAGAGACGCCCTCTCCTCTGATTTGCGTCACCAAGGACACAAGGTCTGGGTACTTCTCCGTCATATTTTCCAAATGGCGAGAAAATATCGATACTTTCCCCTTCTCGTCGCAGTGGACCTGTGCACGCTGCCCATCATATTTGTACTCGCAACTAAAATGCCGTCCTTGCAACTTTGTTAGCATTTCAGAGAGATCCCTCGTGATACTGCCCAACATGGGTCTCAGAGGCACATGAAGCTGCAGGCCGCACCGCAGAAGAAGTTCTTCGGTAACTCCAATTTCAAGTAAGCGTGTAACTAAGTCGTTGTAGTTTGGATGCCTGGCATATGATGCCTTCACTATTTCTTCCGCCCGGTTGTAAATTTCGGCCAGTTCCTCCTTCTTTAGTCGCGCCAGATCTTGTCGTGAACGGATCGTAAACTCTGCGCCTTCAGGCTTTGAGTATAGAAAGGCTCGAGCCAGCGCGATAAGCATCGTTGTTTTGACAGCCCCGATTCTTAAGTTTTGCACCAGCGTCCGTACAATATACCGACTCTCTTCCGCACCTCGAGTGTCTTGTAAGAGTTTCTCCACAATTCTCTGCTTGGACTCCTGGCTACCAGTCCCTTTGCTCATCGCAATCTTCCTCAGGGATTGATAGACACCTTTGATCGTCAGAGGCTTGGGCTTCATTAAGGTGAAGCTCTGTCTTTTCTTTGCCTCGAAAGCCACGTCGCCAGCATCTCCATACTTGTCGTAGAGACTTTTGAGCCCATAAGGACTGAGTCCGTAGACCTTCTTCAGTGCTTTCGATATCGCGGAGCCTCCCAAGCCAAGTTCCAATTCGTCGTATGGCGGGGAAATGGAGTTGGTCGCTAGCCAGACTGCTGGTAAAACACTGGAAGGATCGGCTTCAATCAGGACTCGAAGGAAATTGACCAGGGTATCAACGATCCTGATTCGACTAGTCGTTGCATTTGCCAACACAAATGCTCTAGTCAGCAGGGCATATGAGGCGTTTCCACCCTCCGTAGCCCAGCGGACCTGCAACTCTGCCGCGCATTTGGTCGAGTCGAACGTCAACGGACTCTGGTCAAAAGGGATGGAAAGACTTATTGTATCCTCTGTCCCAACGGAAGACTGCAATGAGATTGTATTTGTTTTCGGAACTTTACTAGGCGGTCCACGATCTGTCTCTGTCGGGGCGTCAGGTTCCTGGATAGGCTTATCATCCGGAACCTCAGGCTCCACGGCCGGCGCAGCACTCTCTTTATCGAACTCCGCTTGAAGCTTGCGAGCAAGAGCTTCGTCAGATAGTGTTTCTTCTGCTGCATTTTCAGTAGCAGAGTCAACAATCTGTTCCGTCTTCTCGGCTTTCTTGTTGGCTTGGCCCTGGAAGAATGACGCTATGCTCCGAACACGCTGTGGGGTTGATTCTGGAGCCTCTCTTTTGCGCTTTTTGGCCGGGCTGGGCATTTTAAGGCTTGAAGATCAAAATATTGAGTAGAGGCAGTTAGCAATGTGCTCGGATTTCAGACTACATGATGTCTAACTTGATAAAGGAGACGTTGAGTCATCGGAGTTGAACAGATTGTAAGGCGGTGTTGGCGTTGATGATCGATCGCAACACCTGGCGCTGGAATGAATGACGATTTACGGACAACATCCCCACCCCCGAACTGCAACCCGACTGCCAACCATGGCAAGCCCTTCCTTTTCTCTGTCGTCGCATGAAAGGACGAGAGTTGAGGATTACTTGAACGACAAGATTCAAATATCTGCCGACTTTGAGAGCCTTGATTCGTTGTTAGCCACTCTCCGCGCTCAGCATGAACTACAACGGAAACAGGTAGAGCGCCCCGGGATCGAGCATTACAGCTACCTAGGCGATTGACTTTTATTTCTTTAATTAACCACTGCTGACACGATAGCTCAGCTAGCAGAAGCCCAACAAGCACTGCTCAGTGCATCCAAAGCCTCCAACGACCATGCCGAAGCCACACGGAAGCGAGCCGAAGCCTTCAAGGACGAGCAAGAGGATATCGATAAGCAATTGAAAGCCATAACAGGTTCCGACGCCAGCGATGAGGCAGCGAAGCGCTTTGAAGTGAGCATAGACAAGCTCCGACGACTGGAGATCTCGAAGGGTTATGTGACCCTCCTGAGGGAAGCAGAAGAATTGAGGTACTTGCGGACCTAAAAGAGCCCTTCCCCTTCCGGCAGTGTCACTGATACTGGATAATGAAACAGCAAGGAGGCCTTGAGCAACATGAAATCTTCACCTCGCCTGGCCCTAGAGCCATATTCGCGCCTGAGAAACATTGTGCAATCGCTGAAGGATGCTCAACCGGCGGCCGAAGGAGCGGCCCCTCACCTTGTCGACTACGTGGAGAAGCTGGCCTCTGCTCTGAGAAAACAGATGAAGGAGAATTTTTCCAAGAGGCTTCAGAAGACGCTGGGACAAATGGGATGGCCCTCGAAAGACTTCCGTCTACCAGAAGATCTGAGGACACAGTGGATCGAGGATGTCGAATTGCTTCTTGATTTACAGACACCGTACGCAACTCTTGTCTAGTTTCGCTGCTGGATTTTCTGACAGTTTACCGAATAGAGAACTTACGGGACGTGATATCGATGTGAAGCAGCAGAGTGCCGAACCACCGATTTTGTTACCGTTGGAAGTGATGGTACATCCGCTGGATCTTCGCTTCAAATACCACTTCAGCGGAGACAAGCCAACAAATAGACTTGACAAGGTATAGTACAACGTTGCCAGTGCGGGAAAAGTAACTGACTTTCCAAATAGCCAGAATACTTCCTGGGTCACGTTTTGGACTTGATCAACACTTTTGGAGGTTTTTTCGCTTCTTCGCTGCAACCTGTCTTCGACAAGAAGGCCCAAGAAGTTGGTTCGGCTCTGGAATGGAATTTTTACAACGCCTCTCATGCGTTTATTACGGCTCTTTTGCCGATGCTGAGGCAGAAATTATCGACTGTGCTTCCTAGCATCTCTGGACATCCTCAGTTACTTAGCCATCTCGTACACGAGCTGATGAACTTTGACAACGAGATTCGGGAGACTTGGAATTATCTGCCTGATCCATACTCCAAGGATAATTGGAAGGGAATGACGTGGGAGGTTCTCACCAAGGAGGGATGGTTTGATCGCTGGCTTCAGGCTGAGAAGGACTTTGCACTGGCCCGCTACAAGGAAATTATTGATGCAACGGACAGCGGTGAGATTGACTACGAAGGAGTCGAGCTTTCGGCAACCAAACCCACCAAAGCAGCGATTCGCGTAAATGATCTGCTTGAAACGATCACTGAACTGTATCGGCCTCTGTCATCTTTCGGTCAAAAACTGCGGTTCCTTATCGACATTCAGATTACGATCTTCGACCAGTTTCACGAGCGCCTCCATTCCGCACTTGAAGCTTACCTTGCAATGACATCTACGATTGGCCGCACGGTACAAGGCGCAGATGGACAGGCCAGCGTGGAAGGTGTGGCTGGATTGGAGCGTCTTTGCAGGGTTTTTGGGAGCTCCGAGTACTTGGAGAAGAAGATGGAGGACTGGAGTAATGATGTGTTCTTCGTCGAACTGTGGTCTGAGCTACAAGAACGAGTCAGACAGAACAAGGACTCAGGTAGGAATGTGGCCGGTCCTATGTCTGTAGCAGACGTTGCTTCTCGTACCTCTCAGATGGTCGCAAATGGTCATCATAGCAGCGGCCAAGGTACAAGCTCGGATGGAGCTCTGTTCGACGAAACCGCATCCGCCTACCGTCGTCTCCGGCTGCGTTCTGAATCGATTCTCACTTCGACCTTGATCTCAAACACACAGTCGGCCCTCAAACCATATGTTCGCATGTCTACGTGGGCAACTATTTCTACTACATCACCTTCCGACGCAACCTCGTTACCACCGTCGGCGGATCTTGCGCCTGCTATGCGAACCTTATCCACTAGCATCTCTTTCCTATCACGCGCACTGGGCATAGCATCGCTGCGTCGAATCATTCGCCAGGTACTTCTCTCCGTTCAAACTAATCTTTGGAGTAACGTCCTCATGAGGCATACCTTTTCCGCCGCCGGAGCGGCGCAATTCGCCAGCGATATCGACCACCTCTGCAATGTCGTCGATGTCGCCTTGGGACCTACCGGCCTGGCAGGAGGCTCGACTAGAGTTCTTGCGAAGCTCAACGACGGTCTTCTACTGCTGGGCCTGACGGTTGTCGCTCCCAAGTCTGGCGACGTATCTGCGGCCCAAGAGGGCGCTGATTCGCAGGAGGAACCCCATCTTGGACTTTGGGAGGTGGAGAAGAGGCTATTCCGGGATAACGGGAGTGCTCGAGGCGTTCTGGCTGAGTTGAATATCGAGACCCTTACAGAGGCTGAGGCAAGAGCTGTACTTGAGCGACGAGTCGAGATTGGTTCTTAGCATAGGCAGGCACTACATAGTAAACAAAACTAACGCAGTCGCTCGAGATCATCCTTGGGTGGTTCACGAATGGAGTATCATTCAATTCTATATACTATCCTTTCTCCGGCGGATCTATACATCGTTTGTTTATTTGTACACTGCCGTAATCGTACACTAACAGAATTATGTTCACGTCTAAGCCTGGTGGACCACAGGTCCGTGGCCTCGTTCTCCGGGCCTCCGTTTGGGAACCGAAGCAGCCTCGGCCTTAAGCCTGTCGATGATTGCCGGGCCCACCTCCTCAATAGCACGAACAAGAGCTTCAACAGTCTCGCGAGTCGTCTGGACATTGACCACACAGCGGAAAAACTTCCCGTCCCCGGCAGCGTTCTCGTCCCCACTAGGAGGTGCAAAGTCAACCATGAACCCCTTGTGTACTAGAGCATGGGTCACTTCTTCCGTGACCTTGCTGTTTGCCTTTGCGCGCTCGGTCTCGTTCGATACAACGCCGCGCGAGTGTACGAGCTGTCCGCCCGGCGCGTAGTAGAAGCAAACCTGGAGACAAGGGGGAGGGTTCTCGCTGATGAGGATAAAGTTGGGGTTCTCGGAGACGAGAATCGCCAGGTGTGCGGCAATGTCGCAAGCCGTGTCGATCTGCTGCTCGTATCCCTCCGTGCCGTAGTACGTCCAGCCCAAAAAGAGCTTGAGGGAGTCTGCGCGTCGTCCACATTGGAGCGTGAGATCAGCCAGGTCCCACACCTCCGGAGAATCGACGGAGAGCTCGTTTTCCGCTGTGCTGAGCTGGTCGTTGGGCCGCGCTTCCGTGTCGTCGCTGTGGAACAGGTAGCCGGCTGGGAGAGTATTTGCCTTGTGGAACTGGCGGATGTCTGCGGCTAGGAGGAAAGAACAAGTCACGGGGACACCGAGCATTTTGTGAGGGTTAATGGCGATGCTATTTGCTTTCTCGGCGCCGGCGAGTTTGTGCTTCTGGCGCTTGGAGAAGACGAACGAGCCGCCCCATGAGCCGTCTACATGGAACCAGAGGTTGTATTTCTGGCAGATGGCGGCGATCTCGTTGAAAGGGTCAAAGGAGCCCATTACCGTCGTTCCGGCGGTTGCATTAACATAGAACGGTGTCCTGTTCTCCTGGAGAGCTTTTCGAACCAGCTTCTCGAGTTCTTCCGGGATCATGCGACCTTGCTTGTCCACAGGCACTGCCCAGACGGAGTTGCTTCCCAAGCCCAGCATCTGTGCCGCCTTCTCGATGCTGTAATGGCCATGGTCGCTGGTGAAGAGTACAAACTTGTAGTCCCCGTTGCCATCTTTCTTTGTATCGGGGTATAGGTTGTTGCGCGCAATGACAATTGAGGTGGTATTGGATGCTGAGCCCCCTTGTACAGAAATTCCACCTGCTCGTGGTCCGTTGAGACCAAATAGCGAAGCCAACTTTTCTCCCGTATACTTTTCGATAATAGTCAAAGCCGGCGACACCTGGTAGACATGCACGTTCGTGTTGAGAGCCGCCAAAATCAGCTCGGATGCCACACCGGGAGCATTCGTTGACGCATATAGTTTGTCGAGAAATCCTTGATGCCATGTATTCACGGAATACTTCAACACTTTGCGCAGAACCTCAATCAAGCCATCTTGTCTGGCACCCTTTTCCGGAAGTGATAATCGCAGAATATCCCGAAGCTCTTCCGGTTTTTTGTAGTCGACTAAAGCTGTCCGCGGTTTTCTCAACTGTCCATTCGCACCACTCGCACCATTCGTTCCATTGACCCCATTTTGCTGTAGCGAAAGGCCGAGAGGATTTTCGTCGGCGGACTGGATGAACGGGATGAGGAGATCTTCGACTGCGCTCAGAAGCTAGACTCAGATTAGCAAGAGAACAAAGCGAAGCGCAAGGCAGCAAGCAAACAAAATTGATGCGCAGTCGGCTAATGGACCGTGGAATGCGCCGGAGGAATGGAGGAACTCACTTTTCGCACTTCCTCGGCGCGACTCGACGGTGGGGACACAGACATCTATACAGCAATTTTATGATATTCCAAACAAGCAAATCTAAGAAAAAATACAAAAAAGAAGAAGATACAAGAAGCATTCACAATTTCATGAGCAACGGTGTATAATAAAGGTCCGGTCAAAACTGCTCAGCACAAAGTTGAAGCCATCCCGCCATTTCCGGAACGGCTGGCGGATCCGCTGCGATGGCGACAGAGCCGGATTGTCTGACATCATGAATGGAGGCTTAGTTATATTCATCGGCTGAATGAGATTGTTTCAGATCATTGCCAACGAGGATTATCTACTCCTTTGGAGAGATATATACACTTTGATGGATGAGGGGAAGGAAAAATTTCCATGGCGTAACCCCGCAGACTTTGGAGGGGCAGCACTGGAGAAGCTCTTAAGAGAATAATCCTTCTACACCAGGCTCTGTGACACGGTATGAATATGGAGAAATGCTTTTATTATCATCATAAATCAAATGATCGCTGAAGACATAATATACACCTGGGATAAAGAACCCTGTCAAATCATGCTGTGTTACTATCACTGCAGGGACCAACCACAACCCTTTCGCTTCATTGTTATAAATCATGTCTTTGCAGCTACCGGCGCCTTAGAACTCTCTTCCGCTGCCTTTGCTGCAAATTTAGCCCGGGCCAAGTCAATGCGAGACTTAGGTCGCTCGCCTTGGCCGTTTTCAATACTGTCCAGGCCTTTCGCCTTCGAAGCCCACTCTCCTCGCCGTCTCTTGTAGAGGTCCATGGACCAATTCCTCCATACTGCTCTGCCAACGAAAGAGTCCCGGAGAGTCAATTCTTCCTTGAGTAATTCCTGTGCCATTCTTTCTTTGACAAAGAACAAGTCTTTCGTCGCCGGCCATAACGCGTCCACCACGTGCGATCCACTGCTATCAAGCGCGAGTTCTACCAAGTGGCCCGAGAAGCGCGTAGTAAACTGTCGCCGGAATTGAGATGTCGAAGTTGGAGCAGTTAGGGCTTGCTGTAGAACACGGGAGGCTGTGGGATCTTTGGCTAATCTGAGAAGTGATTCTGAACACTGCGCTAGCAGGCTGGAATAAATGAGCCCGCTCACGGGTCCGGAAGCTGTAAGCATCGTCTGAGCAAGAAGCGAGCCATGTAATTTCTGTGCAGCTGCTGTCTGATTGTTGCCTGACTGCATCTGCTTCTCCTCTGAGTCTCCCTCACTTGCCGCGGGCTCAAGCTTGAGCATTTGTTCCAATCTTCGTGCCGGGTCTTTGTCGTAAGCGGATTCCAAGGCATCTGAAAGCGGCTTGGTGTCAACCCCGCGAACGAGGCATCGCTCGATCAACACTTTAGGGACAATCAAGCGAGATCTCTCAATGAGACCAGGGATTTCAGGGATGATTAGTTCCATAGCATCTTGTAGATCGTCCTTTCCTAGTCTCTCCAGCGTCCTGAGAACCACATATCCAGCCGTTGTATTGCGTGCAAGAGAGCCAATGCGGTCGCGAATAACGTTCTTGTAGAGTCCCTTGAATAGCTTTCCGGGCATAGACTTGATGATGGTCTCGAGCAAACGAGAACCGACGGGATCATAGAGTAAGCCTCTGACGAATGTTGAACTCTCAGCATTCTCCCCGAAATCATCGTCCGGAATGAGCCTCCTGATGATTGAATTGGGATCCTTAGCGCTCGCCTTGCCAAAGTGCGACAGTTCAAGGAATACCAGCACCTGTAAGACGGGATTCCCTACAGGGTGGGTTGCCAGGGCTCTCAAGTAAGTGTTGTCCAGCCCGGAGACCATGTCACTCATAACCTTCTTCAGCGTAGCCTCGAAAACCTCTGGTACTTTACGCCTCTCCGTAACGGCCTTTTCCTCGGATGCATCCGTGTTCACGATTCCCAACCTTTCCTTCTTCCGGCTGGCGACAACCGAATCGGTGGATGACAGGTCGACTGGCTCCCCGGCCAGAACCAGTAACAAGACTCTGATCGTGTGCGACGCAAACCGTTCCGTCAACAAATATCCCCAATTCCCTTCTAGTTCCTCAACGACCTTCATGAACATTTCCGCCAGCGACAATTCCGGTTCAGGCTCGTCCTCCTCGTCCGCTTCCGCCTTGCGGCCTTTCGGCTTGGGAACTTTTTCAGTAACTCCAGGCGCTGCGTTCATGAACAGTGTCTCGCAGCAATGACTCGCAAACCGATGCTGCACAAGATGCAAGAAATGGCCAATGAACTTGCTGAAGAGTCTCCGAATTTGGCGCATGTCGGAGAGCGAAATCAATTTCTCCATAAGCCGCGAGCAAGACTGACTACAAGCAACCTTCAATTCTTTTCCATCCGCTTCCCTGTAGACACTGTCGACGAAAAGCCTTCGCTCTTCCGCATCATTGAACTGGTTAAGCTCCAATACCTCGTTGGCTTTCGAAAAGTATTCCTGCTCTTCGCTGTCCAGGAGACCGTAGAAAGGCATATCGTTCGCGGGCGCATCGTTCATTGAAACACCGTTTCCGCCATCCTCTGCCTCCAAGGGGATGTAATCCGCTCCTGAAGTGATCTCGTTGTTCGAGGTATCTGTCTCGGCGGAGGGCTTCAATCTCTTGACCGCGGATTCTTCAGGGCCTTCATCGCGCTTTCGTTTGGCGGCTGCGTCTTTTTTGGCCTTGTCCTCCGCGCGACGACCTCTTTTCTGCTTTTCGCGTGGCATAATGGACACAAGGAATCAACCCTTTTTTTGACAGTATGCGGTATAATTCGCTTTTGTTTGACTTCTTTTCCGCTCAGGAAATTTTACGATAAGGTGTTGGCCCGAGCGTCTCCAGCCGTATCGCGGAATTGTTTGTTTTGTTTGCGTCCCCGAGTGACGTATCAAAGTCAACAGAAAATGATGATTACATTACTTTTGATAACTAGTCGCCGCTAACGAACATGAACTTTTAATACAATCGCTGGAGAAGAGATGTGTCACATCATGAACAAATTATTATACAGCAGAGTAAATCGCAGAGATGTGCCTTCCACACTCAATCCGCTGTTCCATGCTCACAGTGCGGTTGCCCACTTTGGCCTTGTGACGAGGCATGATTTGGAGTCGTGCCTCTTGCTTAGCACTCTTCGATTCGGAACCTGAAGGCGCGTTAATATGTGACGGCTTGGATAAATTACTCCTCTTGCCGGTGCCGAGCTGAAAGTGTTCGTTTCCTCCCCAGAACAGCGCGTCGTGGCCCCAGTCGCTGGACTTCTCCAGAGACGTCGTGGCCGAAGTGTCAACGTGAGCTTTGTTGTCCATGATGGCCGACGCATGCGTTGTACCGACAGAGATACTACGTAGTCGGATAGGCAAGAGGGTCTTTGTTCGTTCGTCGTACTCGAACAGGCCACTCAATGCCTTCACCTTCGTAGGTGCGTCTTGTAGGTGCGTCCATCTTCCGTTTCCGAGAGCACCCCAGATGCCCCGGCCGCAAGTCCACGTGTCAGCCGTAATGCGACCCAGGTCACGCACCGTAGAACGATCTTCGCCAGGGCCAAGTATCCGTTGAGCATCCACGGTGAAGAAACTGTTGGCGCCCCCAGCTGCAATCGCAGTCACCTTGGGAAGCCAGGCGTTGCCTGGGTAGAAAAGCTTCAGTGGTACTAGGGTAGGGGTATCGTTGAATGGCTGGGCAGGGTCGAATTCGGACCCCAGCTGCCCAAAGGAATTGTCGCCAAAGGCGTAAACGTTTCCATCCTTGGTGAGCGCCAAAGAATGGTAATCTCCGGTAGCAATTCCAGTAACCTTAGAGTTGCCGAGGGTCTTCACCTCATGGCAGGTATCCACGGGCCCTGGAGGTCGAGTCGACCAAGTCAATCCAGGCACACCAAGTTGTCCAAAGGAAGGATAGCCCTCAGTGGAAGAAGCGACGGAAAAGACTCGACCAGAGTTCGTGAGGAGAAGCGCATGCTGTAGTCCACCACTGATGGCGGTGACTTTTTCGCCTAGCCTCAATGCAGGTTCAAGCAACCGATAGCTCACGCCAGCTCTTCCAGAGCTGAATGGGAACCAAGAGCCTTCCTTGGGTTTCCGACCGCTTTCTTGGTCATCCTTGGCAATTGGGAGTGAGTATACACTTCCGTTTGAAGCCAATGCAAGTATGCGATCACTCGACATGCACAACGACCTCAAGTCCTTGCCAGTCAAGGTCTTTGTTGGTTTGAAGTCAGTTTCTGAGTACCCCTTGCCCCATTGAACCAGATCACCATTCTCAGTAATGGCAGCACCAGACTTCTCTGAAATTTTGAGATCGCGGAGCACTTGACCCTCAAAGTAGGATAACTGCCGAGGAGTCTTGACCACGGATTCTTTGGAGACAGGATCCACAACACGATAAATGTTGTTTCCCCATAGGTAAACCCGGGGCTCTTCAGACTCTTTTTTTCTTGCACATACTGGGAATCCAGATCCTGAGCAATCTTTGGCGTAACGGTCTTCGCCTCAATAGCACTCTCAAGTTGGTCGCCTCGGGTGGTCGCAAAGGTATAGACTAAGAACGCAGCGGCAGCTGTTCCACCTAGACCAAGTGAAGTACGAAGCCAATTTGACGAAGGAGCAGATGACCCTGGTGCTCTGCCACTACCATTAGCATAATGCCTTCGCCATGATCGGATGGCCGACCGGCCTGTTCGCGGGAGACGGTATGAAAGCGTAACGAGGTTCGTCACTGGCTGTCGCACCCGATTCATCGACATAATGTTCTCAAATATCTATCATCTCAAGCTCAGCATTAACGAGCTACAGAAACTTCTTTGAGGAGCTTGTCGTTTCGCACCGGGCAGAAGTGAAAAGTGACTTCAGAAGCTCAGTTGCGTCAATGATCTAGACCACAGGCGGTATGACGCGGCAGAATAGCAATCCAAAGGGCCACGGAGGTGCAGGTCCAGCTCCAATTGCGATCAACACGGTTGAGTTTCATAGTGTCTTTGACTCTCCTCACTTATGGATTACTTTCAGGTCGATTGAAACTATACTAGAGGCGCCAATATCGAAGCATCCGCGACTGTATCGTGGGCTCGAAGCTGAACCCCACAATGCCTCAGCCTACAGCGGGACAGCGAGCACGACGGCAGACTGCACCTTCAGGTCCGCCAAAAGAATTCAACGTTCAGACGGCAGAGATAGCGGAAGTGCTACCGGAGGGTATTGAGTCTATAACGGATGTCAAGAATGAGCTCGATTTTGTACAGTGGTATAGTGAGATTGAAAATGGCCTCCTGGAGAGCAGTCATGACGAGTACCAGTACGCAGAGAAACAATTTCGATCTTCCGTACGATGCGCTGTTGTTTTCCAGGCTGACTCACTCGCGTGGTTAGATCTTGTCTTCAGGAGCTTCAAACGTCAAAGTCACACCTGGACGCGCTTTTGTCTGATACATCGTCCACGCTCGACCTCCTTCGTAGCCTCTCCGAATCCTTCAAGGCCGTGGAAGCTCAAACATCGAATTTCCGGAAGCAATGCGAGGGACTCCTATCTGCCCAAAAGCGTGACACAGAGCTAGCGGAGAAAATACAAGAGAACCTCCAGTACTATGAGTTCCTGGACCCCGCTTCAAGGCGACTCAACGCTCCTGGTGCTGGAAATACTGTTCGTGGCCAAGACTTCTCAGATATGCTCAGGCGGCTGGACGAGTGTCTGGATTACATGGAGACGCATGTAAGTATTTCAGTGGTGTGCTGAATTGGCGAGTCGACTGACTCCTTCCCAGCCTGAGCAAAAGGAAGCTAGTGTGTATCGATCCAGATACAGGCTGCTTATGACGCGAGCTCTCACCTTGATTCGAGGACATTTTGTTTCGGCACTTCGAGATATACATGCCAGTGTTTCGAAAAAGATTGCAGACCAACAGCAGAACGAAGCGACTATGTCGGCTCTATTGTACGCCAAGTTCCGTGTTGGTGCTCCTGAATTGAAACAAATTAGCCTCGAGATACAGAAGAGAGCTGTGCCACCGTTGGATCCTGAACAGGGAACTGAAGCGGAGTATCAGAGTCTTCTCAATGAACTTCACACGAATTTTTCAGCTACTCGTGGCAAATTGATCGTACCCTTAGTACGAAAAAAGCTCTACGATATTGCACACGCCCCAAGTACATCAAAGGATTTGGTTGCTTTCGCCCGCGCCAGCATTAGCTACGTTCGTGGTGTTTGTTTGGATGAGTTTGAACTGTGGGGTGAATGGTTTCACGGCCAAGCGGGTTTATACGACTTTCTCGAGACAGTCTGCGAGCCTCTGTATGATCATCTGAGGCCTCGCATTATTCATGAGGACAAGATCGTAAATCTCTGTCAACTCTGCACCCTCTTACAGACCCGCTTTCTATTTGACCAGGATGAGGAGGTGGAGCAGACGGATGCTAATCAACTCGACTTCTCCGTACTGATACAACCCGCCTTGGAGGATGTGCAGACTCGTCTCGTTTTCCGCGCACAAGCCTTCCTGCGGGATGAGATTGAACGGTTCAAGCCGCGCCCGGAGGACCTCGATTACCCTGCACGCAATAAGGGAGTCTCGATCACCGTTACCGAGAATCAGATTTCCGGAAAGAAACTGGCACCCGCCAATACCTTGGTACATCTGGCGAAGGCAACGAGGCAATCAGATGATGACCCCGACGCCATTCCGGAGCAGGACTCCAAGTGGGATTTTGAACCTCAGGCTGCTCTCGGTGGCTGGTATCCAACATTGCGTAAAGCCATCTGGCTTCTCAGCCGAATATACCGTCTCGTAAACGTATGAACTTCTTCTGCGAACCCACAAATGTCACATTGAAGCTGATCGATTCCTTCAACAGTCCACTGTTTTCGACGACCTAGCCCATCAGATCGTTCACCAGACGACCGTATCTTTGCACCAGGCCAGCGCTCAAATCTCAAGCAAATCCACCGCGGACGGAAAGCTCTTCTTGATGAGCCATCTCCTGATCCTGAAACAACAAATCGTCGCATTCGACATCGAGTACGTAGCGCCAGAAGTGTCGTTCGATTTCTCCGGCATCACCAATACCTTCTGGGAGCTCCGGGAAAGAGGCGGCCTCTTCAACCCCCGCAACCTCATGCGCCTCGTCGGCCATGGTCTCATCCCACGCGTCGTCGAGAACATGCTCGATGCCAAGGTAGAGCTCGACGGGCGGCTCCGAACCGTGATCAACGACTTCATTAACGAGTTCGCAACGAAGATGACCGCCTCCTTACCCACAAAATTCATCGATAGGCGGAATTTACAACAAGGAGAACTGACATATCCGACATGCCAGAATATCGAGAAGGAAGTCCCCAACTTACGGAAAATACTCAGTGATTATCTTGACGACCCCCGGATGAAAGAGACTCTTGTTGGTGCGGTACAGGACCGCGTCATCCAGATCTACGAGGACTTTTTCGACAGATATACATCGTCTGAAAGGAGCAAGGGACATTCCGTCTCCAAGAAGGGCAAGGGCCGCGAGGATGCCGTGTGGGACGTGGAGACCTTCGTAGAATGGTGTGAGAGTATCTTCCGAGTCGGTATCCCTGAGCAAGATGACGAAGGATTCCCTAGTGGGGCTTTGAGCCGGAGCGGGAGTCCGGGAAGCTAGACATGGATAATCCTGGCTGTTGTTCCTATCAATCACGTTGTAAAGGCCACTCGGAACAATGATGTATATATAGCAGGGGCCTTCGTACATAATCCAAGCAAACATTTTGGCCCTTCCGACTAACAAGTTTTCCATAACAATTACAAGGTAAAGCGAGAGCGAGGTCAATTAGATGATATACTTTTTATTGATATTGGCAGTAGACGCCGAAGAAATGGAAATGTTTTGTGACTTTTGCGCAAATCCATACTAATCATGTCATTACAAGACGCAGCAAACGTGCCAATTGAACTCAGACGAGGGGTATGATGCAGCAGGAAATACAAGCATCGCTGAAAAAACGTCAAATATATACATGCGCGTTGCTGGAAGACGAGAGGAAATAGCGACAATTGTATACGCGGTTTAGAGCACATGGCGAATCTTGGCATAGAGTTCGGTGTCGAGGAAGTTGTAGTTTGGATCTTCCGCGCAGAATGGGTGACGCGTCAACAGTGTCTGCGCAGTTGGACGTTCGGACGAATCCCTGTATTGTCTGTGAGTACGAAAAAAGCAAGCTGAAATGGGACGTGTGGGGCGACTTACACAGTGAAACAGTCATACATAAACGCCAGCGCTGCAGGACTGATGGTCATGGAGACGTCGTCTGGAATCGGAGGTGCTTGACTCAAGCTTCCAAGCTTGAAAATAGCACCGATCGCCTCTTCTTTGCTCCATGGCCGGCGACCAGCGAACATCTCTAGTACCACACAACCCAGAGACCAGATATCGACCTTGGCGCTGTAGCCCTGACCCTGTGATTGTATGACCTCAGGTGCCATCCAGAAAACGGACCCTTGCATTGAGTTCGACGAATCGTTCCCGTAGATATCATCCGTCTTCTTGGATATACCGAAGTCAGAAATCTTGCAGGTGCCGTCGAGATCGAGAAGGATGTTGTCCGCCTTCAAGTCGCGATGCAATATTCCCTGGTCATGAAGGTATGCTAGCCCGCTCAAGGTTTGACGAGTCAGGGATTTGACAACACTCTCCTCGAATTTACCATGCTTCCGGAGGCAGCTACCAATGGAACCACCTGAAATATACTCAAGATAGATCGAAATGGAGAATTCGCCGCGCTCACATCCAAGATACTGCACGATGTTCGGATGTTCAAGGTGCTGCATCGTGTCGATTTCTTGATCCATAGCGGCGACCATCTCCTTAACCCGGTCCGTATCTTGCCCAGCAAGTCTTGGGTTGATCTCGACTTGTTTTACGGCCAAGACTTCACCATTGTCAGCATTGATTCCCAGGTAGACTCTTCCGTATGTTCCCTTGCCGATCAGCTGACCGCGGATAATGCGGAAAGTAGGCTGTCGCTGAGGTACCCCCGATGGTGTGTTGTTCTGAGGAATCGGGTCTAGTTGGCTGAGACGACTGCCAGGCTTTGGCCTGATCTGCATGATCTTTGCTCCGAACATTTTTGTGCTCTTACGCCGAAGAATCTCGCCGGACTTCTGGTTTCCAGTATGAATGCTGCGACTTCGGCTAGCTTGGTTGGCACCCTTGGCGACCTCTCGGATTGACTTTCCTCGAGTAAGCCCCCTGCCCGGTTGATATTGCGACGAGCTACTATATCTCCACCTTGTGGCTTGAGAGTTGGCTCATTAGAGCCCAGCGTATCTCCTGCGTTGGTATTCATCTCTCCTGCGTAAGACGAGCTGGGCTGGTTTTCCTTCTTATGCAAATCATTCTCAGGTGGGGCTCTGTTTGCGGGGGATGACGGAGGAGATACCCCTTGTCCATCGAGGTAAGGTGCGTCAAGGTCGATGTCAGGGAAGAAATCGTCCAGATTGTCGATGACGCCCTCAACCGGAGGTCTGCTTGCCCAAATATCGCCTCGAGCAAACGAGTCTCTCCGCGGCGGCCGCCGCTCGTCTTCAGGTGAAGCGGCCATGAGGAAGGAAGACCCGTCCCGACTGCCAGAGTCACCGTTGGCATCGGCGAAACTTTCGCGCGTGGCACTGGGCGACCTGAAACTCACGGACAGACCTTTGCGGAGTCTGGTCTCAGTATTCACGGTTAGCGCCGGTTTTTCTGTCCTCTTCTGGGCCTCCGAATTCCCAGAGCCGGAATCATTCTCTTTTGTGGGTGCTTTATTATTTGAGAGTGGTATCGCGAATAGACCATCGTCCGAATCTTCATCAGAATCA